TTATTATTATTATTATTATTATTATTATTATTATTATTATTATTATTATTATTATTATTATTATTATTATTATTATTATTATTATTATTATTATTATTATTATTATTATTATTTTATTATTATTATTATTATTAACTTATCAAATAAAAATATGACCCCAATGATTTCATGGAACTTTTATGTGGTAAATATTTGAAGTGAATATACGATAGAATATTTATTCAAATATAAGAAATAAAAATTAGGGTCATAAGAGATTAGTGATAATGAAAAGAAAAATTTATCAGTTAAGAATTTCTTTTCGCATTTATAAAAGTAGTGAAAATTTTAGACAAATCCTTTTCATTTTTTCCTTCCTTTTTCCACTTTCTTTGCCAAAAAAAAAAATCAATTCATTGTCTTCTTCTATTGTTAAAACCTTTTTTCGAAAACAAAAAAAATGAAAAAACGAAAAGCCAGAATAAAGCAATGCAAATTTTTCATTACCTCTAAAATTAAATACCTTTAAATTGGGCTTATCTAATCAGTGAACATGTGTATATGTATGTGTATGTTCACATGTGTATGTATGTATATGTCTGTCTGTGTCTGTGCGTGTATAAATCTGTTTATTTATATGTATGTACGTGTCCGTCAGTCTGCTTATGTTCGTATATGTGTGTGTGTGTGTCTGCACTCGAATAAGTGTATATACACACACACATACATACATACATACACACACACATACACGTACACATACCCATACACACACACACACACGTACACACACCCATACACAGACACACACACACACGTACACACACCCATACACACACATGTTCATTTCAATATTAGGAGAATGTAAAATGTGAAATGAAAGAATGAGGTGTTATCGTTTGTACTCTGTTCGTTGCTATCGTACTTTTGGTACTTTACTCTCTCATTAATCCACTTAGTAAATATTGTAAAAAGTGTCTGTCATTTGTCACTTCATCAATAGATAAATTATTAACTGATAAATTTTTCGAATTTTTTTTTTTTACTTCATTATTATCACTTAATTTGCTCATTTACTCTTCTTGTATGAATTAATTATTATATAACGATGAAATGTATTAATTCAAATTTTTTATAAATATTATTTATATCTATGCATATTATTGTTTATCATGAAAGTGAATAAAATTAACTCTTTATTTTTGTAATAAAAAAAAAATGTTAGGAAATGAGAAAAGCATTTTTTCTTTTTAAAAAAAAATATTAATTTTAAATTAATAAAACAGATTATTAAGTTAACTATTCGATTATCGGATTAATGGAGAATGATAATAATAGTAATAATATATTTCTTATTTTAAACATTTTTAAATTTAATCTTATGATATATTTGTCATCTTTTGTCATT